GGAAAGGGGAGGGGAGGGGAGAAAAGAGAGGGCAGGTAAGGGGAGAGGAAAGGGGAATGAAGGGGAAAAAGGAGAGAGGAGGGGAGGAAAAATAAAATAAATAGATGAAATAAGATCAGCAAAACGTCAGTTATCATAGCAGCCGGGTCACGGCTACATGACCATTCGTTATGTCATCTCTACTTGTGTGTATGTTTGAAACTTTTTCCAAATAAAAAGTTCACATTCTAAAAGGAAATTAACACCCCCCTCCAAAAAAAAAAAAAAAAAAAAAAAAAAGTAAGAGCTTATTGGCTTCTTAGATCAGAGTTTTTCCTGAATATTGAAAATCAAGTGGGAAGCAAAGAACCGGAAGTTGCTGATACCAAGTATCATATTTTGAACTTTTCTGGAAATGGGATGTGAGAAAGAGAACTGGCTTGGTACTTGTATCATTCAGTGTCACTATAAGAAACAGATGGCACTCCAGGAAGGGTGGCTCCTCAAGGGTTCAACACAGGGAGTTTTTGCTGGAGAGGAGCAGAATACAAGGAAAGGAATACGACAGTATTGCTTATGTGAATAACAGCTGAACGTTGTCTCTCCTTATCACATGCTCTTAGTGGAACCCATCCATATGCATCTATTTTTCATGAGTATGTAAGTTGGCAAGAGGTTGGCTGCTCTCAGCTGGGGGCCCTCTTCCAGCTGGTTTCCAGCTGGGCTTGGCTCCTCTTTGCAAAGTGACCTCTTGTCTGATCTGCATGTGTTCCTTCTGGGGCCAGTCTGGAGAGGCACCAGAAAACCCCAGGAGGAAGATTCTTCCCACAGCAGAGGCACTCAGAAACATGTGATGCTTCTTAAGGCTTGGGCTTGAAACCTGGACAGGTGGCTGGGTATACCCACATTCCACTGTGTATAGACATAGCAGCAAGCCCAAGGGTAGGGGCAATATATCCTTCCTTTTATGGGACTAACTGCAAAGTCATGGATGTCAGGAAAAGCACAGAATTAGGACCAGTAATTCAACATTGGATAAAATCTAGAAGCAAGAGGATGGAGCCATTAGTGAGGAGGGGGCTCCTTGGAGAAAAACTCTGACCTTCTATGTGAAAGAACCTAGTGTGATCCCACAGGGAGGACACCAGGGAATAAAGGTCCTCATCTCCCTTAGGGCTCCTGCCTGGAGTGCTCACGTGTTGATCCCAGCTGGAAAACAGGAGGCAAAAGAACTCTTTCAAGGGGTCCATAAAGGTCTGCCTCTCAGTGATGGTAGCAGTGTGAGGGACAGGGAAACTGAGTGGGTCCAGCGGGACAAAAAGAGGATACAGACATAGCACTGGCCAGCTGCAAATGAGAGGAGGATGCAGTGAAGGTGCATGGGTAGGCTGTTGGGAGAGACTGAAGTCTCTGAACAAAGCCCTCAGCTCCTCCAGTAAGGGGGCTGTGAGGGACCTGGGGGCTCAGAAGCTACAGAAGACCATAGAGGAGGCCTGACAGCGGCTATGAGCATCTGATCCAGTTGGGCAGTGTACCGAGCTCTGAGAGAGGCTTTCTCTCCCACAAGGCAGGGACACAGCTGGAGGTGGAAAAAGGCAATTTAGGCTGATTGTCTGACTCAGCAATAAAATTAGGCTGTCACAGCTAATAATAGTCAAGAGGAGGAGAGTCGCTGGTGGGAGAAGAACAGGCAATCAGTTTGATGATTGACACTCGAGGAGACCAAGTACCGGGCTCTGTGTCCAAGGGTCATGGAAACAGCCTCCCAGAAGGGAACATGTTACTGAGACCCACCAACACTCCCTGGTTGGCTACCAAAAAGCTCTCAATATTTGTGCTACTTGTGCTTCTAAACACAAATTAATGTGAAATGAAGTCAATGTATTATAATCAGCAACAATATTTTAAGAAATCAATTGGCCAGGTGCAGTGGCACAGGCCTAAAGTCACACCTACCCAGAAGTCTGAGCAGGAGGATTGCGAGCTCAAGGCTAGCCTGGGCAACTCAGGGAGGCCACCTTGCCTCAATATTTTTTTTAAATAAAATTTTAATAGAGCTGAGGCTATTGCTTAACGGTAGAGTGCCTGTAGACTCAATCTCTCCAGCACCACAAAAATAAAGAGTTTTTATAAGTATAGAATCCTTCCAGGGTGAGGGAGAGGAGCAGTCAGAAACTCAGACTAAGTTTTGTACATCCAGAGCCTAAAATGAAGGTTGGCCTACTTTATTAGACCACAAAAAAAAAAAAAAAAAAAAGAAAAATTGAAATGGTCTCTCCAAATCCTCCCAAGCAAGCATTCAAGCGGCAGATGATACAAGTATGAATTGTGAGCTGGATTCAAATTCCATCTCATTTGCTTACATGAACTAACAAATCTTTTCTCCCTTTAAACTGATTTTCCCAAGTATCTGTACCAACAATGGGAAGCTGACCAAACATGTCTCAGGCACACACTTAGTACAAATAGGCTCCTGATTTCATGTCACAGCTTTCTGGTGCTAAACCCTGTGTCCCATCCCACCTGCTTACTGTAAAAAGCATTGCCTTCTCTGGTCTTCTGGTATCTTCTCTTTTCTCATTTGTGACCTTGTAAGAGGTATCTGAGTCTTGCAATACGGTCTATGCTAAATAATATTTAAAATGTTCCAAGGGATAAAAAGAATTTTCTAAAGAAGAAAGGAGAGGGGCAGTGAACTGAAAAAGGCAAATTCCTAAGAAAGCCTTCATGTAACAGATAAACAGAGACTTGAAAGAGAAGTGAAACAGACAAAGTAGTTCAATGTTTTGTATTTTAATAAGAAGGCCAAACACAGACCATGGAGTCAGACTGAAAGCTCTCTGAGCTCCCAGTCAAGCGTCAGTGAATGAAACCTCCAAGGGAGCATCCCAATTAGCCCTATTTTCCAGATGATCAGAACAGGACCCCGAAGTCCAACTCCTATCCCTGGTGCTCATCTTGGTACAAACTCATCCCTGTTGCAAAGCCATGTACAAATGACCACTTACACAAACAACTGCCCAGTTTTTACAGTATGCTTATGTTTCAGGACTTCTTGGCTGCCAGTACAAGATAATAAGCTCATTGATCATGGCTGTGTTTCAATAAATATTTTTTCCCTGCTAATGAGCCAATTTATAATCTCAAGTCAGACACTGTCAGGCTTTGGTTCTTTTTTTATGTGTCATCATAACTGTTATTATTTGGTATTGCCATCTGAGTCACTTTTATAGGAATAAAAGGCCTTTCTTGTGCTTTTGGATAGCATTTTTTTTCAGCAGTGTCCTCAAGATACCCCCTTCCAGCCTCAAAATAGCTTTCTCAAAATACTTTCTCCTGCATGATCCCATTTCTAACAGATGCATAGTCCACACTTACAAACTTGCAGCTGCTATTTGAAAAACGCCAACAATATGTGAGGCCCGAGGCCAGATACAGTGAGAAATGCGAAACCTTACAAGACATGGCATCATTACTTAACAACTTAAAGGTGTTAAATAAAAATTAGCATTGTTGTGTAAGGCTTAAACTTGGCAGTCATGAAGAATATCTTCTTCTCTCTAGGAAAATCAGGTTCTGTTCACTCTGACCTACTGTGAAGGAAAAGGGTGTTTATACGAACAGATAAGGTTTGGTACTGCTTGGCCCACCATGCCAGGAAATGGTACTCGTGGTGTGAGAAGAAAAGAAGCCAAAGTTCTAAGACTCTGTGGAGCTCTTTCTAGACTTTCCTTGATACTGCCACTGCTAATGTCTTTCCACAATCTTCTCTTTCTTCCTGACTAGTAGAGTAAGAGAGGTCTGGGACTACCTTACCACCCCACCCCAGCCCCACAAAATATCTCTGCTCCTTTAGGTGGAACCCATATTGGAGTGTGGGGGCCAACACTGCCACTAGGGTTACCTCAGCTGGCAAAATGCTTTCTGCAGAAGATAGCATTAGATGTGCTGCTGTAAGAAAAATTACCCCAAGCCCAGTAAGTTTAAGAGGTGTCTGCCTGTCCTTTCAATGTCACACTGAACTGCTGTTCAAAAGGCCCATCCAAGGATTATGCAATTTCCAAAACAAAAATATCATCTTTGACTGCTATACACTAGTAATTAGACTCAAAGTCAGTGACATTAGGTGTTAACCTGTAGATTTGTGACTACCCGAGAAGCAAATGATTCCTGACAAGTAGAGAATATCAAAGGTTGTGGGGGTTTTGCCCCATAGAGCATTAACAAGTTTTGGATCTAACCTTACTCTGATGTTCCTTTTGTAAATGGCCTTCAAATATCCCATTCTTCAAATACTCTTTGAGTTGACTTTATTATATGTGATTTTTAATTGTCTGGGCTCATTTTCTGGGTTATTATTCCCAACTATTTGGGCAAATATTATTCTGTATGTTTGGCAAGGGTGTTTTTAGATGAGATTAATATTAAGATCATTGAACTTTGAGTAAAGCAGATTGCCTTCCATAATGTGGCTGGGCCTTTTCTATTTAGATGAAAGTCTAAATAAAATAAATATTGGCCTCCCCCAAGCAACAGGTAATCCTGCCAGCAGCCTTTAGCCTTGAGCTACAGCATCAGCTCTCCCTGGGGCCTCCAGATTGCCAGCCCATCCTGTGAGTGATGGGCCTGCCAGCCTCTATAACTGTACAGGACAACTTCCTAAAATCTAAAATAGCCTAGTGGTTCTGCTTATCTAGAACATCCTAAAACACCATCTTTACCTACTACTAAATGAGTTAAATAGCATCTTGGACACATCTCTAGTTTTAGTAAGGTATGTTCTCATATCACTTTTAAAATGCACAATTCAGCAGAGCCTAGAGGTTGATGCAGAGACAAAGAAGACTCTTTTTCTGGCCTTGTCCCAGCAATTACCTCCTTTTGGGAGCCTCCTACAGGAGTAGCGGTGGCAGGAAAGGACCCCAGTGTCTGACAGGCAGGACCTGGCTAAACACCATCTCTGTGCCATCTCAACAAGACCATAAGAAGAGTGAAAATAAAAACTTACAATGGAGGGCCGGTCTTCTTTCGACCCCTTGCTGCTCCGTACCGGAGTTAGTGGCTGGACCTCCTGCTACCTCGTGTAAAGATGCTACCCTTCCCTTTGTTCTGGGCAACACGGCCTCTGCAGAGATGTGGTCAGCTGGCCAAGATGGCTACTCAGGCCCAGCACAGGAAGGCAGCCCAGACTCGGACTGGAGAGGCGACTCAGGGCTGGACTGGCCAAGAGAGTCTCTCCGACAGTGACCCTGAGATGTGGGAGCTGCTACAGAAAGAGAAGGACAGGCAGTGCCGCGGCCTGGAGCTCATTGCCTCAGAGAACTTCTGCAGCTGAGCTGCGCTGGAGGCCCTGGGGTCCTGTCTGAACAACAAGTACTCGGAGGGTTATCCTGGCAAGAGATACTATGGAGGAGCAGAGGTAGTGGATGAAATCGAGCTGCTATGCCAGCGCCGTGCCTTGGAAGCCTTTGACCTAGATCCTACACAGTGGGGAGTCAATGTCCAGCCCTATTCGGGGTCTCCAGCCAACCTGGCTGCCTACACAGCCCTTCTGCAACCTCATGACCGAATCATGGGGCTGGACCTGCCCGATGGGGGCCATCTCACCCATGGCTACATGTCTGATGTCAAGCGGATCTCTGCCACATCCATCTTCTTCGAGTCTATGCCCTACAAGCTCAATCCCCAAACTGGCCTCATAGACTATGACCAGCTGGCACTGACGGCTCGACTTTTCCGACCACGGCTCATAATAGCTGGTACCAGTGCTTATGCTCGCCTCATTGACTACGCCCGCATGAGAGAGGTTTGTGATGAGGTCAAGGCACACCTGCTGGCAGACATGGCCCACATCAGTGGCTTGGTGGCCGCCAAGGTGATTCCTTCACCTTTCCAGTATGCAGACATCGTCACCACTACCACTCACAAGACACTTCGAGGGGCCAGGTCAGGACTCATCTTCTACCGGAAAGGGGTACAGGCTGTGGACCCCAAGACTGGCCAGGAGATCCCTTACACATTTGAGGACCGAATCAACTTTGCTGTGTTCCCCTCCCTACAGGGGGGCCCTCACAACCATGCCATTGCTGCGGTAGCTGTGGCTCTCAAGCAGGCCTCTACACCCATGTTCCGGGAGTACTCCCTGCAGGTTTTGAAGAATGCTCGGGCCATGGCTGACGCCCTCCTAGGTCGAGGCTACTCACTGGTGTCTGGTGGCACTGACAACCACCTGGTGCTCGTCGATCTGCGGCCCAAGGGCTTGGATGGAGCTCCGGCTGAGCGAGTCCTGGAGCTTGTGTCCATCACTGCTAACAAGAACACCTGTCCTGGAGACCGAAGTGCCATCACCCCTGGGGGCCTGCGGCTCGGGGCCCCAGCCTTGACCTCTCAACAGTTCCGTGAAGATGACTTCCGGAGAGTTGTGGACTTTATTGATGAAGGGGTCAACATTGGATTGGAGGAGAAGCGCAAGACTGCCAAGCTCCAGGATTTCAAGTCCTTCCTGCTCAAGGATCCAGAAACAATCCAGAGTCTGACCAACCTCAGGCAGCGGGTGGAGCAGTTTGCCAGGGCCTTCCCTATGCCTGGTTTTCATGAACGCTGAAGGCACCTGGGGTTGAGGCCTGTGGCCTCTGCTTCACCCCCCTGGTCTGCTGGAAGAGAACACCACTTACCTATTTTTTGATGGAGGAGGAAAGTCCACCTAGCCAGACCATTTAGGGCAAGAGCGAAGTACAGTCTCTCTTCCCAGAAATTAGAGCTTTCTTTTTTTTGTAATCAGATTTAGAAGAACCCTCCTCCCCCAGCTTTCTGCCTTCTCTGCCATTATCTCAGTGTTACTTTGGCTCTTTCTTGGGGAGGGGGTTTATCCTGCTGAGCCAGAGAAAGGGGTGGGCAGGCACCCTCCTTCCTGTTTTTATCTAATAAAATGCTAACCCGCAAAAAAAAAAAAAAAAAAAAAAAAAAAAAAACTTACAATGCATACAACAAAAATAAATGGAGTCATATAGGATTACAACCCAAAACGCTGAATAAATATCCATGCAGTCATAGTGAGAAAAATAGATGGTTAAATAAACAAATGGAGGTCAACAGAAAAATCTCCTCTGTAGAATTTATGTATATGCTCCTAATTTATGTATATGCTCTGCTATTAAAGAAGCACAGCATAACTCCCCTCTCCTTTAGTATGGACCTTGTGGCTTTCTTCCATGCAAATTTAGGAGAGAAAAAATAATTTTACCATGGAGAAACCTGATGAACACTAACTCAACTAAACCATCAGTATCAACAGTGATAGTATACACCTTTAATTTAATGTAACGGAAATAACGCTACATCTATATCCTCCCCAACACAAATAACCTCAAATTAAGGGCCGGCCAAATAGCTCAGGCGATTAAAACGCCTATGTAGGCAGACGCAGGAGCTGGGAGTTCAATCCCCGGGGTCTGATGTGCCGGCCCCACCCCTGAGGTGCACTGAGATGGCGATTGAGACTGGGCATAATCCCAAAATTTGGGAGGCTATAAACAGAAGGATCACTATGAGTCCAATCTACACAGTGAGGCCCTATAGACACTGTACTAAATACGAAATAAATAAATAAAATAAAATAAAACAAATAACCCCAAATTAAACACAAAAGATACATCCCCACTGAGGGACATTCCACAAAATACCTGACCAGTACTCCTCAAAAGTTTCAAGGTCATCAAAAATAAGGAAAAATTTTAAAAGAGGTCAAACTTCCAAGCTCATAAAAATGAGGTAAAGTCCTCTCCACAGGAAACTGAGACAGGCTGGCTAAATTCAAGGTGGTACCCAGGATCTCAGAACAGAAGAGGAACGTGAAAGGAAAACACAAACCTTCAGGAACAGTAGTCTGTGACGACTGGTTTACTCATGTAGACACTGGAACAATGGCAGATATTAATAATGGAGAAACAATGAGGAATATGGGGACTTTCCGTACTATTTTCGCATTTTTTAGTAAATCTGAAACTGTTTTTAAAATAAAAGGCTTATTTAAAAATAATACTTTCTACAAGTTTTTAAACATCAAATTAACCTGATTTAAATCCCACTTCTGTAGTTTATTACTTGTTGTACAAGTCAGGTACTCTCTCAAGTGTCCCCAGGAGCACAAGATTCCCCCATATGGTATCATTCGCCTCACAAGGTCATCCTGAAGGTGACAGACAAAAGCATCAAACTAATAAAAATAAATAAATAAAGCCTCAGGGAGAGTAAAGCTTGAGCCAGGTGTGGGGGTAGGAGTGGGGTGTCTCTCCTCAGAATAAGCTTGAGGAGGACTTGGAGAGAGAAACTGTTAAGGGGAAAAGCTTCTTCCCAAAGACCTTCTGCTTGAATGGGGGTAGCAGAGGCACTGACCCAACGCCTGTGTGACCAACCTGCTCCGGAGCATGGGCCTCTCCGATAATAAACTGTCCCTTGAAAGCAGCCCACTTCTCTTACCCTGTCATCGGTCGTGGTGTGTACAGTCACTTCTCACTCCACACTTTAGGGAACTTTGAATGTGCTGGGACTACCGTTCGTTTGAACGTGCTTGGCTCTGAGAAGAGATTCCTCCTGCACTAGGCTGGCGTGGGTATGTCCACAGTCATTTGATCAGGTCTGTCCCGAATGCCTGCTCTATCAGAAATCCACACCAGGGGGCGACATAGATGCTCCACCCCGGGACGCCCTTTCTGCTGGAGCTGCCACTGGAGTCTTAGGCTGTTTCCTTGAGATGTGAAAGAGGATCATGGGTGTATTCGTTTCCTGTAACTGCTAACAAGTTACCACAAAGATCACCATAAACGACACGGTTAGAAAGCAGAACCCAACCGCTTGTTTCTAGCTGTGGGAGTCAGAAGTCCAGTGCTTTCGTAGTCATAGGCGAAAGATTGCAGTAGGTGTGGCTACCTGGAAACAGCCACCAAGGAAACCAAATCCTTGGAACTGCAAAAACTTAAAAAAAAAAAAAAAAAAAAAAAAAACCTCCCTAGTACTAGAGCGACTTCAGCCAAGAAAAAGGAAACCACAGGACGGGATTCTTGGTGCTTCTGAAGAGGGTATGGGTACAGGTGAATTGGAACTTGGCTGGATTTAGATACTCCCTGGAGTGTTTCTGAAATTTTACTTCCAATGTAAATTAATTTCCAGGGACCGAGGTTGTAGCTGAGATGTAGGGAGCTTGCATAGCTCCCCTGAGTCTGGGCGTGAAAGAAATTTTCACTTCCTCTGACAAGACAGTTGGGACTGTATTAGATTCATATACACACTGGATTTTTCTCTCTCACAAATTTCCTGACTCTAGAACTTTGCCTCTGTGATCTGGAGCTCTTGCTGCTATTCTCTTTCCCAAGAAAGCAAATGACTCAGAGCTTCAGAATGCAAAAGCAGGGAAAATTCTCCCTCCACTCTCTGTGACTGTTGCAGGCTTTACTTGGGCTTAAGAATAGGACACCCAGACAGAACTGGACCTAGCTGTACTATTCCTCACGCAAAGATGCCTGCCCCTTTCCTGACTTGCTGTAACATTCCAGTCTCAGTGTAAAAGACCAGAGACAACTAAAGACAGATCTGTGTTCTCTCCTGACTGGAGACAGACTTTGTTGACAAAATAAAATCTTTACTTCTTTCTTACTTGGTATTCGAGATTTATATAGTTCTGTTGCTCAGATTTGGGGAAGGATTATGTGCATTTTAATCACTATCTCATTGGGATCCAAGACGCCAAGCAGTCACAAGAAGAACAGGTGAACAGTCTCCTCAAAGAGAAGTAGTAAATGATTCTTTCTCCCTCTCTCAGTAATAGTCCCACTTAGTGGATATGCTTGTTGATCTTCCACAGGAAGAGAATGCTAAGTCTGGTCAAAAAAGAAGAAAACATGGCAGTGAGGAAAGAGGGATTAACATATAAAAACTTTACAGAGAATACTTAGTACTTTGAGTTAGCTTTGTATATTTCTGTCCTGCCAGCTGGCTTCACACAGCCAATAAAGTCTCCAAGCAGTGAGTGTAAAATTGTTTATTTTCATTAATTTACCCTGATGACCTACAGTGGAACAGGACTTTATAAGGAGAGGTGAAGTCTGAGGATAACTATCCATACACTCACTGAACTGTGTCAACACACACACACACACACACACACACACCCATAAAAACAAAACAAGCAAAAACCTGGTAGCCCTCTGGTTCCTTATGGCAGCCTCTCCAGTGGTTGTGGCCGCCTCCCACTTTCTTTAAAAGTCTGCTTTTGTCTTTTTCATTTTCAGCAGTGTATTTCCATTCAGGAATCAAGCTGCCCAGGACCAACAGCACTGCCTAGTCCATATGCCCAGCACATTGTAAATACTGTGCTTAAAATTCACTAATTGAATCCAGTACTTCCTCCTGTAATTCCAAATCAACATTTTCTTTTAGGTGGATGGGACTTATCTCTTCCATAACACTCTTTTCTCTGACTCTACAGGATTAGCCAGGGAAGACAAACCATCCTTCCTTCCAAAATCTTCCTTTTACCTATGTATCACACACCTGTTGAGGTTGTTTTTAAACTCCGTTTGAGAAAATTTTACTTGAAATTGTTGCTCTTTGGTTCCAAAGGCATACTTAGGCCCTTTTGGACAAGTAGATCATGAAAACATGGCTCTTTTCTGTCTAGACAGCTCAGCCTTTCTCCTTCCAGGTGACACCAGAGAAAACACTTTATACTTTCAAGTGTGCAAACTTGATCCACATTCTGGTTGCAGAAACTAGTATTTATGAAGAACTGTCTAAAAATGTGAAGTCCACCTGGCTGAGCCATTGAAAACATTATCTTTGGATCAAGACAACCCATCAGAAAAATTGAGTTGGCTTTTGTTAAGTTCTCTGGATGTTTTGACATTAACCTATAGGGAGGGATACTATTTTTGAGAAGTCTTAGAAGAATTTGTTTTGGACCCTTTTATAGACATGTTGTCAAATGCTGTGTCACAAAGCATGTTTGTAAAGATGCACACGAGGAAGTTACTCTCAGTTCTCACTTCTGGGAATTTGGTTTTTGTCTCATTGCATTGTAAATGTGGCCTCTTTGTACTCCTTGCTAGGAAGCTTAATGTTAGATAAGTGTTTCTACTTTTTCAAACATACAGAGCCTCAGAAGTTTGTGTGCTGACCTTATCTCTGACTTTATTGTAATTTTGTTATTCTTAATTTTTCCATTTGCTCAGCCCAACTTCATGTCTTACTACATTATATGCAATGCATTTGTGTAAGCTGTCCCAAATCCTTTGGAAAGGAAGGCAAACATAAATATATTACAATTTTTATTAATCCCAGGATTCCAGTAGCTCAGCCTTAAAATGATTTTAGGTTCAAGGAATACTGCACAATCGTCAAAGGCAAGTGAGGGGAAATTCTTTTTATGTTTTTCCCCCAAACAAGTATCTCACTGTGCAGTCCAGGATGGCTTCAAATTCATGGCAACCTTCTCCCAACCTCCTGAGTTTCAGGATTGCATGCATGTGCGACCACACCCAGCAGAACTCCACTTTTTACTGACATTTTTGAAGGAAATCCATATACACAGCTCTGCCTACTAAAATCCCATTTTCTTGCCTGTCCACTTTTCTCGGGCCGGCTTTCATAGTTTCTTTCTCTTCGCACACTCCATAACACTCACCCAACCTCCTATTTCCAATAGCTGTTTTCTCACTCTTTCCACTCTCTCTGCTCTATCCATTTATTATATTATCTTTCTTCATCAAGAAAAATTCTTTCCACTTTTGAAGAAGGGAAGATGAAAAAATGTTTGCTGTCAGAAAATCTCTTTTGGTTGGGGGGAATGAGTATAGAAATGACACTCCTAGATTAAAAAATTGTCTCATTACATATAAATAATTATTTGATATTTTAAATTTATGAATCACTAAGC